TACATATATTAATCTACATACAAAAAAAATGTGACGTGATACGTTAAAACAAAGTTTATATTTGCAAAATATAGACCAACATTTACATGCTTAAGATAAATTTATACAAAAAACTTTTTTATCGCAGATCTGTTATTAATCCCCCTTCTTGTAAGGGAACTGTAACCCCTGGCATGCCGGTAACGCGGGCAATGTAAAGATTGTAAGCTTAAATTCTGAAGTTTCCAGTAATAATTCACTTTCGATTACACAATTGCAATTTCTAATCAACATTAAAATGTGATTCTAAAATCGTTATGTAACAGAAAACCTTGATCCCAAGCTCCCCCAATGTAACAGGACCGTAACGCCAAACTGGAGTTGTTAGGTTGTAACAACTAACAACATCAGTACATATTCGGTATTTAAAATTTATTTTTAACGACAGCGTGTAGATCCGAGATTTGAAAATTGTTTCAGAATCATTAAATCATTTCTCAAACTATGGTCATCCGATCGTTATTAAATTACGTATTATTCAATAAGAATTACATCCTAGTTTTCTTAAGGTTAGTGCGTGACAGTATCATAACTTGTGCAATGAAACCTTTTATATGTACACAGCGGAGAGCCGGAAAGATTAGTGAACGGCTTTAGTAGTATTTTATTAAAGACCGAAACGACTGAATGACATATCAGGTGTAATCCTGTAGATTTATCGGAGTTAAACTTCTCTAATGACCTTATTTATATAACCCTTTTAGAATTCTATGTATCATGTAATAACTTTTACCGACCGAAGAATTAGTTTAGTACAACAAATCGAAGACGGTAGTCCGGCCAAGTTGTGAATGGTAAAATAAGCAAATAAAAAAACATTCATAAAATAAACTATTTTACACTTTAAAATTCCTGAAAGAAACCTGTGATAATTTAGTACACAAAAAATTTAATAATGAGACAATTTCTGAAATTTAATCTTATCAAGTAAATTTAAAAATATAAAGTTAATTTATAGAAAAGAAAATAAAAACCAACTTCAACACTACACCTACATGTACAAACTTAAACTAAAAAGTAAAAAATAATATTTTAGCGCATTACGGAACAATCGACAAAATCATTGATACATGACATTTACAATTTATAATCAGTTATTTTTGAAGCTGGTGCTTAGTTTAATCCTGACTTTGCAAGAAACTTTTCGTACGATTTCATTTATCTAATCTCTACTTTCGTATAGATATATATTAATTGATTAATCAAGTAGGTATCTATTAA